AGAGACAGTGAGATTGGCACAGGACAGAGCGGAGTTTAGGGCTGTTGTACATAGGGTCGCTATGAGTCGCAGGCGACTCCACGGCACATAACAACAACAACAACAACAACAACCTGGATTCATCTCAATCTAGCATTCTGTCCGTATAGGTAGGGAAAGAATTCAGATTACCAGGAGGAGTGTCTATCTGTGTTTCATTGACTATGCATGGGTGTTTGATTGTGTGGATCACAACAAACTGTGGCTGACTCTGAGAAGAATGAGAATCCTAGAACATTTGATTGTTTTTATGCAAAACCTATACTTGGACCAGGAGGCAGTCGTCAGAACAGAGCAAGGAGACACTGCATGATTCAAAATAGGGAAGGGTGTACACCAAGGATATATTCTGTCTTCATACCTTTTCAATCTATATGCAGAACAGATCATCTGGGGGGCTGGGCTATATGAGGAGGAATGTGGCATCAGGACTGGAGGAAGATATTCACAATTACTTGCTATGCGTCAATGACTAGGGATGATAGAAAGAGAATGCCTTTGAGCTGTGGTGCTGGAGAAGATAATTGAATATACCATGGACTTCCAGGAGAACAAATAGGTTCATCCTAGAGAGAGTGAAGCCAGGCTGCTCTTGGGAGGTAAAGATTCTGAGGCTTTGTCTGACATACTTTTGGTCATGTTGCAAGGTCATTGGAGAGGGACATCATGCTTGGAAGTGTGGAGGGATGGAGAAAGGAAGGGAGGCCATTAATGAGATGGATTGCTACAGTGATTGGAGTAATGAGGGTAGGTGTGTCAGAGACAGTAAACTTGGCACAGGATAGAGCAGGTTTCAACGCTGTTGTACATGAGGTCTCTATGAATCACAAATGACTCGATGGCACATAACAACAACAACAACCACCTTTCTATTCCCCATCCCACCCCTACAGAAAAATAGAAGTAATTAAAATGATTCACTTTCTGTCTTTCCCCCTCATTCCTTGACTTCCAGAGATTGACCCATCTCAGAGAGTCTTTTTCTGAGATGTATCTTTTCTAGTAAATCTATCTTTCCTATCACCATTAAAAAAAAAAATCTACTCTTCATTCACAGTTGTAGTCAGAGGATCCAGTGAGAAGCTAATGGATATCAAACTGTAAATGGTAGAGCACTTCAGGGAATGTGTCCAATAGTGGTAAGGAGACAGTATATCCTTGACAGTTAACCTCAAATCTAGATCTTCCTTCTTGTGCTTTCTGTTTACTATCTTGGAAGGCCCAGTTTGTTTTCCCAAGGACATGCCTATGCAAGGTTTTGTGTCCAACTATGAGAGCCAGACTTGTGAATGAGAAGTTCCCATTCCAATTGAAGGTCAGCTGAGGTGCCATAATGCTACAGAAGACCAGTAGAGGAAGGCATAAGCACATGGGCACATCTGCTGGGATCAGACAAGAGAGGTCAAGACAGGGAAGGCCTGAGCTATGCGATGGAGTTAAGTAAAGGCCTAGAGAATGTTTTATGATTGGGAGACAAAGATCCAGATGACAGGGCCAGGAGGGACTGGATGGAGTCCGGTGTCTCAAGGCCAGAGCTTTTTGCTTTTTCTAGGTGCCCTTTCATTCAGTTTACCTATTCTAGGGCTTTGCCCACACTTTCAGACAAGGCACATGTAAATCCCAAATCCAGGAAACCCATAGGACTCTCCTCAAAGCTGATGTCCTGACGGTCTCATCTCCAAGGACAAAGAACCAGTCTTCCTCTCCAGGTACTTTCAAGTCTCCACCACTCTACTGCAACTGCTCTTATGTTAAGGACTCCTTGTTCAAGGGCCACGGGGTACTGGACATGGAGAATTGTCAGGGCACAAGGAGGAAAGCCCACTAAAGTCGTACATGAGATGGGAGCAAGGTTACTGTCCTTGCCAGGAAGGTGGATACAAACTAGATTTCAGGATGTATGTCTGCAAGAAGATAACAGAAGTACTTTCCTAGGTTTATTGGGATAGGACAACAGTGAAGGTTAGTGGCCTGGGATGTTGATCAGTCATGCAGGGAGGATAGCAAGTTGGTGATTCCAACTTAGTGCATTAATGTGCGCTAACTTCTTACTGGCTGAGGGGTCTGAGGAAAGAACTAGAAGGACACAACTGAACCAGTTTCTGATATGCTCTTTGCATCCCCGCACACGATCCTTAGGAACGCTCTGAAACCCCGCCTCTTTTTGCTCTGAGGGCGTGGTATGGGTGGCAAGGACCTCGCCACGGAGCTTTCTATTGGCTCAGTGGAGCAGGGTTGACCTAGCCATTCGCCTGAGCAGGAGAGTAGACAGCTCCAGGCCGCTGAAGCAATCTGTGAGCTGGACAGCAGTGGGAGGCGTGGGAGGTTTGCATTAACTGCATACCCTTGGTCTCAGTCGCCAGAGAACTGGGACTTGGTGACGTGGCTGCTGGGCTATTTGTTTAGGCTTCAGAGGAGCAAGCTGATAGGGCTTGATTGCTTAGCAGCGACAGTGTACCACCCACTCTCTGAGAGAGGCCCGCATTGAAGTAGTAGCTGCGGGGGTGGGGGTCGGGGGGGCCCAGTTCAGAGCCCTAGGGTAGCCCAGAGGAACGAAACCTAGTATAACGTGACCCAGTCGGGAACCCAGAGTCCCAGTTTGTGTTTCTGGGAGACTTCTCAGGGGCGCCCATCCTGGGACAATTGAGGTAGTAAAGGGCCGCCAAATCATCAGTGGGGATACCCTTTAGAGGAGGGCGTGCAGTCCTAAACAGTTTCAGAGAGCCAGGCTGAATTGGGCGGGATCACGGGGGTGGGGTGGGGTGGCGAAGGGCCTCCATCGCGCCTTTTGCGACGTCAGAAAGGCCCCTCAGAGGCCCTAGCACATACCCTGATTGGGAGCTGCTGCCTAGTGAGTCTACCTGGCTGGCAGGGAGAAGAAGAGTGACACCAAAGCCTGAAGAAGAGGAACACTTCAGGGCTGGTTGCTGCAGAAGATGGGCATTTGAGTTCCTTTGGAGAACTGTGCAGCGCGGAAAGACTGGGCGAGTTTTGCTGAGGAGGCTCAGAGGTATCCCAAAGTGCAGCCTCTCACTAGAAAGATGGCCCGGCCTGGGCAGCGTTGGCTTGGTAAATGGCTTGTGGCGTTGGTCCTGTTGGCTCTGTGCCGGCTTGCCACGCCATTCGCTAAGAACCTGGAACCCGTGTCCTGGAGCTCTCTCAACCCAAAGTGAGTAATTTATCCGCTTGTTCCCTGGGGGTGGGGGGATGGGTGGGAGACACTCCAGGGTGAGGCCGAAGTGTCCCTGAATGTATGTAGAGAAATGTTTGGAGAAGGAGTGGCTTCCTTTCCCCTACTCCCCCTTGCTTTTTTTCTTTTTTAAAAAAGTGCGTTTTCTAGTGGGCAAGCGAGGCAGGATGGGGTCGGTTGGGGACACTTGATGAGGCTGTGACCCCTAGGTTTTTTGACCATCGCCTTTGCAAGTCCCAGATTAAGTCGAAGCAAGAGATCGCGCTTTGAGAACACCTTTGAGAACTGGGTAGGGGTGGGAGCGCAGCCTTTTTTGGGGGCCCTGGGAACTTGCCAGGTACCAAAAGCTAGACCTGGACAGAGGAGGAGACCCTAACACAGGATCCTCCTTTGCTTAGCTGTGGATAAAATATAGTGCAGGACCCAGTGCTTGGGGCAAGTGGGCAGCGCGCCTAAATACCCACTCTGGCTCTTTTTTGCGTTCGTTTTCCTTTTTTTCCCCTAGCCTTCCTGGCTTTCTGATTTTGCAGTATCTTCTTGTTTGTGCCAGGGCACAATCCGCGCCCCCCACCCGGTTACCGCCTCTCAGCCCTGTTGCCGCCTCCCCCCCCCCGCCCCGCTTTTCTAACAGCCTGAATAGTAGAAAGGCGGGCACCACTACAAAGACTATGGAATGGAGAAGGGTGGAGTGGGAGAGCGGTTGTTGGTAGAAGGGTGTGTATATGTGCATGGTGGGGGGTGGTTTGGATCCAGCGCCCATCAAAGATTTAATAAAACCCACTCTAGGGTTTCAAGGGCCTATCTGAGAAAGTGGTTGCCAAGCCTGCTATGGGGCTGTGTAGAGAGTAAAGGTTTCTACCCAGGAAGGTCTATTGTGCCCTCTCCAACTCCATCCCTGACCCTAGATTGGGGAGCTGTGCCTAGATTTTTCCTGAGGGGTTGGGGGACAGTTATATAGAGATAATTTCTTCTTCCTCCTTCCCCTTCACTGCTCACCCCCCAATACATACCTTTTAGGGCAGTGGCTTGGTGGTTTCTAGGCTGTTCTAGGGAGTTGTTGGAACTGTTGTGGTGACCTCTGGGCCTTTTTCTCATTTGTCATCCAGGAATCATGTTAGAGCCTAGGGTAAAAAAAAAAATCACTTTATTTCTATTCTTGAGATCCAGACAATGTGTGACACCTTATTTAGTGAGAGGCTGGGCTGTTTTGTCTATGCACTCAGATTCCTGAATTTGAATTTTCTTATGTCCACTCTTCCTGGGCATCCCCCTACCTTGACCTCTTGAGGGTCCCAGAGAAGGTGCTTCTCTTATCTTTGGAGTGGGAGAAGGTGGATTCTTTACTTCACTTCTCGTGTTAAGGTAGGGTCACAGTACTGGTTAGCTGGCTAAACCAGGGTACTGGGTCCCAGAACTGGATAAACCTGGGTGAGAGTATCAACCTTTGCAAGAAAAGGAGTTGGCCAGAATTTTCCCCCTATCCAAAAGCCAAGAAGCATGCAGCAGTCTCCTAACAGCAAATTCAAAATGGTCTGGGGAGCCCAGAGCAATTCCACCCAGGGAGGGAGGCTGTGAAGTGCAAAATCTCCCTCCCTGCCCCCTCTTTCCAAGGGCAGAGGCTGGAAATGCTCTTCTTGAACAAGGAGAATTGAAAATCTGCCTGGGGTAGCCCATCATAGGGACTCATGGGAGTGACCTAATTGTTCTCTCCAGTCTCTAAACAGATAGCATACAGCTCCACAGCTGGAAAGGAGCCCTCCTGTTGAGTAGGAGGTAGGGTGGCAGGCAGAAACAACAACCTGAGCTTTCCCTTTTTTGTGTCCTGAACCTTTTGATTTCTGGACTGATTTACAGGTTTTTAGAAGTTGCATGCTCTCTGTCCCCCTCCATCCACAAGTGGGGGCAGTCATCATGGGTGGGAGGAGGCTGGGAACTTGGTAGGACCTGCATGAATTCCATTCTGTAATTCACTGTGCAAGTTCTCAGGGACTGATCTTGGTGCCCCAGCACTATCTACTCCCTAGAGTTCCTTCTATGCTTGGGTCTGGAATGCAGCCACAGAATGCATGTGTTGGTGGGATGAGGATGAGAAGTAGTTGGGGGTAGGGAGCCCGAAGACAGGGAGGTGGCAGAGCTGAACTCCAACTCTGAGGACTGTCTTTGCCACTGCACTCACCTTGAGGCTGTTGTAACTGTCAAATAAAGTTTCTGTCTCTCTCTTTTTACTGTCCGCCCAAGTTGCCCCTCTCAGGTCTATGTGAGTTTGCCTTCTTACACCCCCTGTTAGCGATGGCCACCTCTCCATTTAGACATGATGGTTCTTCCTCTTTCTCACATTCCCTCTCACTTAGTCACACTCTCAGGTCCTTTTGTTTCTAGCATATGCTTGTGCTCTCCCTCACAGGACTGATTTTCTCTATTACCTCCCCTCTTCCTTCTAGCTTTTGATCCCTCTCCTCAACTCTGTTAGGAACTAGCACCCACCCCCATCTCCAATATCCTAGCACCTATAAACCCTGCCTTATTGCTTCCTCCTTGCTGCGGAAATAAAAAGAAAAGTACAGGGACTCTGGGTATATTTCTAGGTTCCAGAGCATATACAGCTCTAGTCTTGACTGGAGGGAGGTGGGCTGGAAGAGCAGCTCCAAACTCTAAGCCTCTTTCCTAAGAAGATGTTGGGGTTTTCCATGGTGGTAGTCTTTGAGTGTTAAGAGCTTGCCTTGGGCCCCCTCCTGTCAGATTTGCTCCATTAACTCAGGGTGGGGATATGGGTCTTGTCTAGGTCGAGGTTGATGAGAACCAGGGTGTGTTATGTACTGGGGACTGAGGAGAGGGTAGTATGAGCAAAATGTGCCCCCTTCCCCCAGTTTCTTCCCTCACGAAGCTCAGGGCAGCAGGAAGGGCTTATACTTGAGTCCTCAGCCAAGTCCAGCTGCTGCAGTTCAGTCTCAGTTTTATTTTGACCCCTTCCTGCCTCCCCACTCAGGTTTCCCTACCTCCAGGGAGTGGGAATGTGCCTGAGATCATATTACACCTTCCATACAAGGGGGTGAGAGTGCACTTTTCAGCTTAGAGTTCAGGACCCTTGACTCCAGCATAGATGGGGCAGCTGCAGACCCTAGTCCATAGTGAAAGTGCTGGCCCCAACCCCCTCACAGCTGTTCCAATTCATAGTCCTGGGGAGGCTAGCTCATGGTTCCAGAGCAAGGAGCTTGACCTCTTCTACTTTGTGGTTGATTGGTCACAGGTGGCAGCCTGAGAGTGTTGGGAGCCCTTTCCCTCCTCCTTCCTTCCCCACTGTCATCCCAGGCCTCTAAGCAGGAACAAAAAGAGCCTTGGGAGGCTGGGTTGGTTCCTGAATACAGGCTCCCCTTTCTTTCTAATATGTTCTTTATTGCCTTGCCAGCTCAAGTAGATGAAGATTGGTAGGCTCTGGACTCTGTACATTACTGTTTTCAGGGACTGGGATTATTGAGGACTGTGGGCCAGCCAAGAGGCCATTGGTGGGGGAAGGTTCACTCGGATTGTTAGAGGAAATAAGGTGAGGTGATGCTCACCAGTCACATTCTGGGTTCTGTGCCTCATGGACCATAGCAGCCTTCCTGGATGTGTTTTCATGGTGATTGCTTTGTAGATGGGTGCTAATAGTCAAGAATTAACTTCTTTTCTCTAAATGATACTGTATTTGGAATGCTAAGTCAGGTAACACCTTGCTACTTACAAAGAATTCTCATGTATGATCTTTTTTTGATGCTCCCAATAGCCACATTTTCCAGATGAAAAATAGGTATTGCCATATTTTCCAGATGAGAAGGCATACAATCAGAAAAGGGAAGCAACTTGTCTAAGGTCAGTGAGCTAGTAAGGGAAGAGTTCTTCTTTCCAGGTTATCCTACTGCAGTGGTATTTATAAGAGAAGAGCTTTAAAAGTAGGACTTGAGAAGAGGCATTGGCTCTCTATCCCTGAGTTCCCCTCTCACCTTATAAGTGTAAGTGCATCTTGTGATTTGGGTCCTGCAGAGTGAGCAGTCCTCTGGTTTCCTCATTTCACTTTTGCAGCCTACCTCCTAGGAAACTTTGCTCTATTGTCCTGAGATTAAGGGAGTCAATTTGCTGCCTGGCATTCTCCTTCCTAAGCTCTAAGTAATGCCTTTGGTTCCACCCAAAGTCAAGAATCTCACTTTCTTTCAAGGATTCCAGAAAGGAGACAAACAGGAGGGAGATATGAAGCCTCTAGTGGACATTAGCTTTGATCATGTGGGCCATGGGTATGATCAGCATAGATGAGGATGGTAACTTCCTCTGAAACTTTCCTAACTTCCCTGCTTCCAGCAGTGCTGTATATGTACCAGAACTCAGCTGCTGCTCCTGCTCACCCATGCCTGGGTAGGTACTACTGGGACATGTCAGGCCTACTCCTGCTACCTCAGGCCCTAGGTGGAGCTGGTGGCATGAAGAGGTCTTTAATTTGGGGTCTCCCTGCCCTGGCTGGGATGAGTGCAGACTTTGACTTAGACTTGGGTTTGGGAGTACAGGGGTAATGGTAGTAGGCTCATTGAATCAAGGTTATGGCTAGTGTCTCCTACCAAATATGGACTTTCACTACTCTTTGGGGTTTTTTTAATGCTTGAAAGTTAACAAAGCTAATTCGTTTTCCATTCAAGTAATCATATATTCATACAGATTTTATGACACTAATTATAATATCCACAATGTAACCGCTCTCTTCCCACTTCTTTGTGATTCTTATTTCTATTAATTCTTCTATCCTACCCCTTCTTGCATTCTGAGCTTTATTCCTGGACAAATGCTGCCATTTGATTATTCTAGGGACTGAGTGCTTCCCTGGTGTTCACCTTACCAAGCTTAAGCTTATTGCCATTGAGTCAGAATCAACTCATAACTGACCTCCTATTTGATTTCCAAGGCTTTAAATCAAATGAAGGGAAATTGTCCTAGTGGATTTGAACCACTGGCGAGGTGTGACCTTTGGGTTAGCAGCACAGTCTACCAGAGATCCCTGTTCATCTTATTTGTTGTTTGGCTGCAAGTTGAGACATGAGAGTGAGTTTTGTTTCAGGTTCTAAGAGTGAACAAGAGCTATAGTCTTAGAGGTTCCACCAGTCTCTATTGGATCCGTAAGCCTTGATATTTTTATGTATTCTTTAAACACAAGTTTCCAGAGTCAGAGGGAAGAAAATCTAAATCCGGGAAAATATAAACAGCTTTCTGGACATGTCCCCACAGTTGTAGATTGTCTCCCATGTAGATCATATGTGCGTGAGGAGAGACTCAGCTGGTTAAAGAATTCTAGGTGGTCAGTTGTCTCCTTCCAGAGCTTTGTGTATTGCTGTTCCAGACCCCTTAGATTTCTTATACTCCAGAATTCCTTTTCAATAGTCATGGTAGTGGTTCTAAGGTCTGGCAGTACTTCTGAAGACTGGAGGAGGGACCTCAGCTAGAATGGAAGAGAATAGGTAAGTTTCATGACAATGATAGGAACAGCTCAAGCTGCCCCATACCAAGCCATTTTACTCCTTGGAATGCCTCACTAGGATCCCAGGATTATCAGAGACTAGAGAGGAAAGGCCTCAGGGTTTAATATGGTGACTTGCTTCAGAATTCCTGAGGGGCAATGTCAGTCCTCTACTTTGAAAAATGACTTTTGTCTAGAGTGACCTCAAGCAGGAAAATTTGACTTGATTGTGGTAAGAGTAATTCTTGAAAGGTAAAGAGGACAGTCCCTTTCCTCCTCCTCTCCTACCTCTATTCCTGACATGGTGAGTAGGAGGGAGACTTATAGGTACCTATAGTGTACCTGGCTTCAGCCTCTCTATGCTCACTGGCTTCAAGTCCACCTCTCATAGACCAAGATGTAGATTTTTCCAGTGGTGGAGGAAGGTATTAAGGACATACTATTAAGAGGTGTATCTCAAGAGGCTGAAGTACTTTAGGGGAAGGTAATTTTTCCCTCTGCCAGCTGCTATGCAGATTAATTGATGCATATTTATGAAATCACTGTTCACTGAGCCTGAAGAGATTCTGAAGAGTATTAGGGGGCATAGTCTTCTCTTAATCCCACTCCCTTAACCATTAGATAGATATTTGTTTCCTCAGTGTCACTGTGTTAAAGGTTCTAGAGCATGGGTGGTGATGGGAGATTGAACTCAAGGAAAACAAGAGACTCTGCAGTTCTTAAGACAGGGCCAAGTGATTAGAAAGGTGAGCTGGCCTATACCCCTTTCTATGCCATCTATGTATCTGCTATTACCTCTAGGTGAAGTCTTCCTGAGTTTCAATTGTATAAAGATTCAACTTGTTAGATCCTTTGAGGTTAACATCCTGGGTGGATTTAAGCCCCTGGAGTTGCTGTTGAACACCTTTCTTCAGTGAGAACATTTATCTAATCATTCCCTCCTATGAGGAGCTTGGACTCAGTGAGTCTATATGGTTCTTTCTGACTCTGAAATATTAAAACAAAACAAAACTCACTACCATCAAGTCACCTGATGTGACTAGAGGGCTGCTTTTCTTCATCTGCTTCATACTGTTGTCCTATTTCTTGTATTCTCCCTCTTAGGGTCATTTTCCTCCATGAACTGAGAACACAGGTATTGAAGTGCAAAGACATTGCCCCAGAGCTTATAGTAGGCTCTCATTGATTGTAGTACCTTTTGAGTCATGGACTCTTAGAAGGAAATGGGCTCATTCAATTCCCAGATTATTACAGTAACCTCTGAATTGATATTCTTCACCAGAAGAACCTCATAGTTTCCTTATCTTTAAACACTGTCTTTAGCCCTTTATTTTCCTTCTCCACAGTGTGTCATTAATAGAATGTAAGCCACTACTTACTGTAATCTGTAAGATCTTTCACTCTGATCCCAGTAATCTTTTCTACCTCATTTTCTCTGACACTCTACCAACTCCCAGTCAAACTGGACAAATAACTGGCCTGGATTTTGTGTCCTAGACATTGCTATCTACTTTTTCTTTGTGCTGAATACTTCTCACCCAATAACCACTTTTATCCTACACTTTTTATGAAACAATTTCTAACCACATAACCTTGTTCTGTCTCTTGCTAAAGTGTGGACCATTTATTTTTCTGATCTAAACTAGGCAATAAACTCCTTGAAGGTGGGTTGTATCTTCCAGTTTTTCTTCCAAGAAACAAGACTGGGCTACAGTCTTAATGTTAATCTGACCTCCTGATATTGACAAACTATACCTAAGGAGGAATTGAGCATGTTGAGGGCTCTATGTGTGTTACCTTACCCAGAAAGATATGAGAGGAAGGGGCTCTTAATATCCTTAGTTGACAAGTGAGGAAACTAAAGCTCAGAGTGGTCAGGCAGCTCATTAAAATTTGCAAAGCTAGTAAGTACCAAATATACTGAAAATCTGGGTTTTTTTCTCTTATGTGGTACTGCCTTGTGCTTACTTCTGATCTTTTCAGGTTCGATATGACTAACAAATCACTACTGTTGGTAATCTACTGTTATTACTGCCCTTTTTTACTGTGGCTTTAGACAAATGAAGTCATATAAATAGGTGACCCTGGACAACTACCCTGCCCCTATTCTCCCCTAGTCCCTTCCCTTCTGGAATAGAACATGAACCTGATCCAGAAAGAACTTATCTATTTCTTCTCAATACCTGTGGTAAGAGCAGTCTTGGAGAGGGAATATTGAAATCCAGATGAAGGGGATTCTGTTGCCCCTAGTTGGGCCCCTTTCCCCCTATCTACTTAGGCATGCGCCTGGTTAAGTTTGAGCATTCAAGCTTTTGCTTTGTTGAAGTGGTGTGGATCACTGGTAGGACACTTCACAGTGGAAGTAGAGAAAGTTGCTTGGAAGATGTACTTGGCCAGAAACTTTACTTACTGTCATCCTTTGGCTCCAGACAATGGCTGTTCCTATCTTTCCCATCATAGCCGTGATTAGCAAGGATTCATGAGAAGGCATGGGCCTCAGACAGGTTCAGCATCTCCAGTCATGGCTGTGAGCTGCAAGGATGGTAAATAAGGCATGTGTGGGCTTGCTCTGAATGTGTGTGTGTGTGTGTGTGTGTGTGTGAGAGAGAGAGAGAGAGAGAGTGTATGTAAGGTAGGTCGTGGCAGCAGCTGTGCAAGAATGTTATAGGAGGGAGAACAGAAGATATTGCCACTTTCATGCAGCCTAGACCTGTCACTTTGAAAATAATCCATTGGCCTTGTCATTGTCCTGCAGAAGTACCAAATTAGGACAAAGGACTTTCCCAATTAGGCAAAGTTCAATCCTGTGAAGTAGTCAAAACCTGGCAGCTTTTCCCATAGGCCACTCCTTCCACACCCTGCTGGTAGTATGATTCTCTCTCCCAGTCCCAGTAGCCTGAAGTTCGAGGAAGAGTAGAATGTCTGCTGTTGCCATCTCCACCCTTTAGGCCTAGCCTGACCCTCACTGTCTTCTCCCCTGCTTCTGGGATGGATGGCTTCAGCCCCAACCATGAGGCTGACCATCTCTTCCTTTCTGGGCAGGTTCCTAAGTGGGAAGGGCCTGGTGATCTACCCGAAGATTGGAGACAAGCTGGACATCATCTGCCCCCGAGCAGAACCAGGGCGGCCCTACGAGTACTATAAACTATACCTGGTGCGGCCTGAACAGGCAGCTGCCTGTAGCACAGTGCTCGACCCCAATGTGCTGGTCACCTGCAACAGACCAGAGCAGGAAATCCGTTTCACCATTAAGTTCCAGGAGTTCAGTCCCAACTACATGGGCCTGGAGTTCAAGAAGCACCATGATTACTATATTACCTGTGAGTCTCTATTCACCATGGAGTTCTCTCCTTGGCCTTTAATCGCTTATATAATAATGGGAGCTTTTAAGTAGTATAGTGATAGTGCACATAGGTAAGGTCCTGCCTGACCCCATCTTTAAAGATTGGCATGCTTTCCTCCCAGTCTGGCCTTGGAATCTCAGCCTCAACATCCCCAAGGAAACAACTAACCACCTTGTTTTGGCACTGCAAGAGTTGGGTGAAAGAGGACTCAAATTCTTATTGATTTAACTCTTAATTTTCTTTGCCTAACTAAGATCTAATCTTGAGAGTGGCAGAGTTGGCAGAACCCTTTGAGATCTGCCAGCTGTTCAGCTTTTTTTCCTGATTTGAAACTGAAGATTTCTTATCCTAGATAATAATAGGGATTTAGGGAAAGGTTTGGGACTCCAAGCCAGATCTTTTGACCCACTAATCCAGGATTCTTTCAAGTCTACTTAGAAACCTCTCCCATAATGTCTGCTTATGCTGTTTTGTCTCTGAGCAACATCATCCAATGAGAAGACACACATTATTGTTGCCACTGAAAAAGAGAAGCCAAGGGCCTGGTCATAATAAAGAAGCAGTGCCCTTGGGAGAGGAGCTAGTTCCTGGGCTATGCTTGACTATGTTATGCTACTTTGTTCATAGTTGAACGTAGGGCAGTAGGACAGTTTGTATGTAGATAGAAGCTGCTTGTCACTCTCAGTTTTATCTTTATTATTGACTGAGATAGCACTAGGGTTCCTAGGGAATGCTAGAAGAAATCTGCCAGCCCTGACTTCTTTGTCCTCTTCCTACAGCTACATCCAATGGAAGCCTAGAGGGGCTGGAGAATCGAGAGGGAGGTGTGTGCCTTACACGCACCATGAAAATTGTCATGAAGGTTGGGCAAGGTGAGTATTTGGTCTGAAGCCCCCCCTCTTCCAGGTTAGACCTTCAGAACTGATATTGCTAAATTATGGGTGTTTGGGGAATAACAAGGAGGAAATGAGGTTAGAAAATCTGAAGTCTAATTTACAGATCCTTGTGGTCTACCATATATGATCAAAGACATAATCTATGTTGGTAGACTACCTCCATCTCACCTGTCTTCTCCCCACCCCTAGATCCTAATATTGTGATGCCTGAGCAGCTGACTACCCGCTGGCCTAGCAAGGAAGCAGACAACACTGTTATGATGGCCACACAAACTCCTCATGGTCGGAACCCTTTAGGGAGCTCTGATGGCAAGCATGGTGAGTGTATCACAGAGGGCAGAACCCAGTGCACAGTTTCCTCGTCAGGCCATATTTTTGAAGAAAGACAGCAAATCCCTGGCAGAAATTTGGTATGTCTCCCTTGAGACTCCTTGTTGACCATTTCTCCCCTCCCTTCTCCTTCCTCAGAGACTGTGAACCAGGAAGAGAAGAGTGGTGGCAGTGGCAGTGGGGACCCTGGCAGCTTCTTCAACTCCAAGATGGCATTGTTTGCAGCTGTTGGTGCAGGCTGTGTCATCTTTCTACTCATCATTGTTTTCTTGACGATTCTGCTACTAAAGCTGCGAAAGCGGCACCGAAAACACACACAGCAGCGGGCAGCTGCCCTTTCACTTAGTACGTTGGCCAGTCCCAAGGGGGGCAGTGGCACAACAGGCACTGAGCCTAGCGACATCATCATCCCCTTACGGACTACAGAGAACAACTACTGCCCCCATTATGAGAAGGTGAGTGGGGACTATGGGCATCCTGTCTACATCGTCCAGGAGATGCCACCCCAGAGCCCAGCGAACATCTACTACAAGGTCTGAGTGCCTGATGTGGCCTTGAGCCTTAAAGGACAGATGGCTTGGACTGTACCTCTTTCTTTTCTCCCCCACTCTCACCCTTGCCAGCTGTGCCACCTTTGTATTTAGTTTTATAGTTATGTAGTTTTTATAACCTATCCTTTTTTTCCTGCTCCCTGGGCTTTGGAGAGTTCTTAAACCTCCAGATCCCTTGCTCTTGTGCCTTCCTCCTCAGGCCAGACCTCTGGGCTCTGTGAGTGTACCTATTTTTGGTGGGCAGGGTTGTATGCTGATGTGCACAATGCCCTTCTTGGTCCTGCTCCTACCTTTGTCCTTGTCCCTTCTTCCCAGGACTACTTGTCCACTATTGTCACTGTTTTTAATGCTATTTTGTTCATATTTTTAGCTGTCAAACCATTTTATTTGTTTTGAAAGAAAAATATAAAAAACAGTCCCTCCCATGCTTTCTGAGCCTGGTCCAGAAAAAGTAAAAGGCATAAAAGAGTAGAAAAAGGCCTGGGGGTGGATCTGGGTCTGGGAGGATATGGCCAGCCGGGAAGCAGAGAATGGCTTTTATTTTCTAGATTCCTGGGCATTTCTGGGGTTAGAAGCATGCCATAGCTGTTTTTGCTTAAGAGAGAGGGGCAGAATGCCTTTGGACAAGGCGTTCTACCCTTCCTTTTATTCTCCTTCTACAAAGCTGATACTGGCAATGAGGTAGTAGTTGCCATGCTTCTAAAAAAAAAAAAAAAAAAAAAACCCCAACAACAACAGAAAACTTCCTTGTGGAATTCTTAAGCATCTCCTTCCTTCCTCACTCTCACAGTAATTATTGTCTTAATTAGCTGTTGCCTGGGGAACAGGAGAACTGCTGGGGGCAGATGACCTCATAGGGTGATGGAGAACAGTAAACTGGGAGTTCCCCCTCACTCTACCCCCCCTTATTTGCTCCTCATCTTTGGCATTCTTTGGCCTGATGGGGAATTAGAGGCCCAGGTGGAGACTTAAGTGGAAGCAAAGCCATGTGGCCTGCTCCTTTTTTGAGCTAAAGCATAGGTGAGTCCCCACTTTCTACCCAGATCTTATTGGCCCTCTGTATTGGGCTAGGGCCTGGAAAGAGGAAGAGACTGCTAGGGTCTAGGCTAGCCCACTGTGTATTTTGATCACAGCTCCTTGCCAGCAAGGCTGCTAGTGGACTGACACTTGACTGTTCCTTGAAGGCACTCCCAGAACTGCCACAGAAGGAGCTGGGCCTTATATTATCAACTTTCATAAAGCCTCTCCCTACCCCAGTGCCAAGTGGGAGAGGGAACAAAACAGCTACCCCTTTGTAGGTGGCAGTAGGAAGGGTTTTTATTATTGTTTCTATTGTCATTTGTGTAAATATTAGTCTTTTTTAAAAACAAATGTAAAGATGTTTTGTATAAACTGAATTATTTTCTTGTTGCTTTTTCTTAGAAAAAAAATTAACCACATGGATAAATGAGTGTAAAAAGGTGTCATGATGTTGCAGAATGGAACAGTGTATGAGAGTGTGAGTGTGTGTGTGTGTGTGTGACTGAGGGAGAGAGAGATGGAGATATTGAGAGAGAGGAAGTGGGGGAGGGAGGGAGAGAGAGATTGAGATTGATTGACAGATTTCCTTTTTCCCCAGCCACTGGTTATCTGGGTGGGAATGGAAAGAGGGTAACTATCTTAATGGGACTTGATATGTCTTCTGATTCCACCTCCTCATTTTACATTCTCTCTCTCTCTCTCTCTCTCTCTCTCTCTCTCACACACACACACACACACACACACACACACACATTTCTGTACTTTTCTTGTGCTGCTATGGAACCTAGAACATTTTCCCCATCATTCTTCTCATCTTTGGCTATAGTGTTCTGCAAGAGGCTGGACATTTTCCCAGTCTGATACTCAGACTAAGCTAGAGAGAATTGATGAGGAGAGGGGATGTTCTCATGATGACCTGGGTATGTCCACAATACCTGTGGCAGGCCAAGTCCTACTCTGCTTCAGAATGCCTGGACGTAAATAGAAATACCTTTCCCATATCTAGACCTCTACTGTGGCCCACTGGGTACCAGGGCTGCTTTAGGCTCTCTCAGGCAAAAGAATTTTTTGTTTCCTATCTTCAGAGGTGGGTCACACCAGAGCCCATCACCATGACATTCTTGGGGACATCTGGCTGGCAGTTGAAGCCCTTGAGCTAGAACAGCCCTGAGCATTCAATCTCCCTCCCACAGACTGATGAGTAACTTGCTGGGACCAGAGCCTAAGGAAGATTTGGCCTCAATCCCGCAGCAAAGACTTAACCAGGGCCTGGGATCCTCCTGTTCTATCAAGATTTTTGTAGAGGGACTCCCTGAGGAGATGGGTGGGACAGATCAGGTGTGGGGGACAAGTGAGATCCTGGCAACAAAAAAGTGAGTAAGAAAGCAATAGAGGATAGAAGTATAAAGAAGGAAGGTGAGGACTAGTGAGTAATCAAGAACAGGAAACCGCAGTGAATCAGCCGTGGTAAGAAGGGAAGTAAATAATGCATAGAGAATGAAGTGGGGGCGCAGGGTACCATAGGACCTGATGAGTAGAGGAAAGAGAGGCTAGGCAAGAACAGGCCTATGGTGGGCTGGGGTGTTCCATGAGCTAGTTAGGTTGAGTATGTTTGTTTGGTTTCTTATTAACCAAAGTAAGTGCCTGGATCAGAGCTTGGTTTTGAGCAGGGCTGGTTCAAGCCAGATTGAAGTGTCAACATAGGTTGAGTACAGGGTTGAGCTCCTAGGGAGCCCCCTGTGAGTAGCTGTGGGAACATTAAGTAAGATCTGAGGAAGAGAGCAGTATGGAAAGCAAATTATAGGACAGTCTCTTTAACCGCCCAGCACACATGTGACTTCCTCAGGCATGGATATCATGGTTTCAGCTCAGTGCCCACATTGGTAATAAGTACCACTATTGTGGTATTGTCTCCATAATTATGCCATAGTATTCTTCATCTGGGCAGTGTTTGTCATGTTTTTTAACCAATATTTATACACATTATCTCATTGAACCTTATAAAGTGCCTTGTGAGGCAGTGTGTATACAATTTTTTGCTTCATAGTTGAAATGAGAAAACAGATCCTATGAGGGGCAGTATATTGCCAAAGAAAACACATCAGGTGAGTGAGAAGCACTAGGATTCAAGCCTTTACTGCATCATGAGGAAATAGGAATAGTTTCATGAGAGTGAAGATGTGACTCCTTCTCTACCCCTTTCTTGTGTCTAGTGTGAGTATGAGCAAGCATGTTTCCTTGGGAGTCCTGAAGAATAAAAGCTTTCACAATCCTTTCTCTTTTCTCTGGTTTGAAAGCTTGGTTGGAGGGAGGAGAGAAGAACTAAGTTTAGTAAGCCAGAAACAGGAGATAGGAACCTCCAGTGGCTAGGACCCTAGTTCTACTCCACCTTTAATCCTGTCCCAAGGCAGTACAAACTCCTGGTGAGTCAGGGATAGAATAGAGGCTGCTTCCCAGGTGAGGGTGGGGCAACCTGGTTTCCTACACTGACTAAACTCAATTCTTCAATGAAAGCCAAACTGAGCAGGTGATAACCAGCCCCCCTCTTTTGTGGAAGAACAGGTTTGTGGACCTGCAAGGCAGGGCTCTTAGAATCTTATTGCACTAGTCAGTTTATCCCTGAATGCACTAAGGACATGGATGCCCTAACATGATCTGGGCAAGGGCATAAGGCTACACTGTAGAATCCAAGGAGATGCCATGTCCAAGGAGAGCCATCCTAGATTGGGTTCTGCTGAATGTGTGTCCTTTTGGATACCTGTTGTCAGTAATTCTAGGAAATCTGGCTCATCCACTGGCTCCTCAGCTGAACCAGCCCCTGTCTACCTGGGGAATGTTGGCTTTTTCTTTGGGAGACTGCTAAAGGATCACCCAGCCCTCACCCAGTACAGGGTCTTGAAGCCCAAATTAAAAGCAATTTAAGCGTGTGAGTGAAACAGTAATTTTAGGTTTTGTTTGCAGTGGTTTATTATCCAGCTTTTAGAGAGAAAGGAATTTGAGGAAGCTTTGGGTGGGATAGGAGAATTAAGGAATGTTTTAAGGGATATGAAGGGCAAAAGAAGTTTGTCACAGGGCCCTTTACACAAGGGAGAACCCTGTGCTGAGAACCTGTTCCAGCTGTGCCACAAATCCTTTTTGAATAGTAGCGCCTGCCTTTTTGGATTGTCATTTCCCTGTCTTAGGGTAATGAAAGTGTGTGACTGTATTTATTTAGTTGTTTATTCAGATATTACTTGCTAAGAGCCTATCTATGCCAATCAGTAATTTGAACAATGGGGTACAGTGATAAATAGGACAAGATTCCTGTTCTCATAGAACTCACTTTCTCCTGGGTGAGTACCTAAATACTAGGTTAGCTTGATTGTGCTCTTCTGATGACTTAGTCACAGGGATATGAGAGGTAGGCAGGATGGGTGATATTTAGATTAAAAACTAAATTGAGTTCTGAAGTAATCTTTAAATCATTCATTCATCAACCAGTCATCTTCCCCCCCTGCCCCCACCCCCAAACGCTTGACACATGATAAGCATCAATAAATGGTTGCTTTTGCTTCTCCTTTAAGGTGTGGAGGGTTAGTTTAGCTCTAGGACTAGGATTCCCGGGAACTTTTCCTGCTTGGAAGTGAGCCTTAATACCTGGTTGTTCATATTATCACCCACCAAAGTGAACCTTTTGCAAAATTCATAGATATCCCAAGAATTTGTGCTGGGGTTCTTATCTCAGTTTACAGCTTCTATACCTCAGCCCAAGTACCTTAGAAAAATGTAACCATGATAAATCATGTAGGCAGAAGCTTCCCAGATTAAAGAAAATAAAAATTTTATTTTTAAAAAAGAATTGTTCTTAGAGAAGCTTCCCAGATTAAAGAAGTGTCCTCAGCCCTTGCCTATCTCTGCAGCCCCATAGTCTCTCACAGTTTCTGCAGAGATAGGGACTGAAGAGCTAACTTCTTAGGGAGGAACTCCCTTTTCTTTGGACTAATCCCTATGGAGAGGCTCCATTGTTCTTATT